GATTTTCGAAAGAACAGCTTGACAATCTGATACATAAGCTGTTCTTCAGTTCGGGCTCACCGAATTCTGTGCATATAGACAAAACAGCTGAAATTGTCGGGGTTGCGTTTATTCAGCAGATCAACCGCACAGGGAGCAGACAGGATCTACACAAGTTGGCTTAAAGATGACTTCATCGGTGTGTCGATTTCGCCGCCGCCCCCTTTCCCCATAAATGCGCCACGGCGCTGCACCAAGACTCAAACAAAATAAGCGCTGCCTGCAGTCTGCCTCGAAAAATCAACGCTAAAACGAGAAATAAAACAATACAAAGAACTCACCATCTTCAATGTAAGCCTGGTCATGGTCGTATCTACGTTCTACCAGCTCCGAGAAGCATTCCGCGTTTTTGTTTTTCAGCGTATTAGTTGCAACCATGGTGAAATAGCTGTTATTTGTCGTTGCGAACTGCAGTTGAAAAGACAACATGCAAGGTATTGAGATTATCATTCTTCCCCACAGAGTCCACCTATCTAGTAACGTCACGTCCAATTAGCTAATTACGTTACATTTGAGTTTTAAGTTTTATCACTTGTAAACCTTGAAATGAAATGAAACGATGTGGAAAAAAACTGATTACAAACAAGCAATCGTACGTGCCAACAAGTCTAACTAGACAGTTTAAAGGTACTTCGAGTTAGCTTCCTAAGTAGCTTGCTATATTACTTTAGATTAGGCTAACGTTAGCTCGCTAACTACGCTACTTCACACTTGCGGTAAACGTAACATGATGGTCACTAGAATAAAATCACATTAAATTCAGAGATGGCTTACCGTATTGAATCAGACTGTACGCCGACTGTAAAAAATAAATTAAAATTCGATCACTGTTCCTTGCTTTAATTATCCCCTCGCGCGCGCGCACACACACACTCACACACTCATTCAGAACCTGCCCCGTGCCCCTCTCGCGCACTGAGTGAGGCAGCGTCGCTTGCTGCGCTCAAAGTTTATAGCCTCCTCGCGCACAGCTGGCCCCCTCGCGCCCGGCCGGCTCGACCAATGGGCGCAGGTGTAACATTCTGGAAATTACTGGAGTTTACCAGGCAACTCAGCTGCGCGGGGGCTACGGTCCTCTCTCAGCGCGCACGTCGACCGTTTTTTGCATTCGAGGCATTTCATTGGCTGCAGTCGAAAGACTGGTGGCCAATTGCAGAAGGCCATTATTTTGTTGCTATCTATTATCAAGTCTATTCTCCTTGCTTCTTTGCGGTTGCTTGTCTGCCTTTGTCTTTCCCAAACATACTGACGCCCAGGTGGTTCTGTAATTCACCCTTTAACTGTTATTTGTTCCGTGTTAGATATTCTCCTGTGACACTATTCATTTTAAAACGGCAGAAAAGAAAACATTTAACAGTACCTACTGTCTATGAAGAAACATTTGTTTACATTTGTTATTTGTTGACTTGTGCATCAGATAACCCCACAGATTGAAAATGATCAGCATAGGTGAATTTGGAGCTACTCATTGTATTTCCCTACTTTAAAAGAAAAAAAAAGATCTATCAATAATTTTGCATGAAACAGTGCACAAAGCAGAGTCACAATCATGCAATGAGAAGGGTCAACATTGTAAAAATCAACTGCCTAAGTGCAAGAGCCTTGAAGGTTCCCCAGTGTTGTGAACTTATGGCTGCAATTAGAAATGGTGCCCTATTAGTGACTGTAGACTAAAAGTGAAGTATTTTGTGGTTAACTTCAAGTCTCCTTCCCGCCTGGTTCAATTTTACATTACATGCATTTAGGAGACGCTCTTATCCAGAGCGACTTCCAGCACAATAGAGCATAAGTGTATCCATTCAATTTAAACGAGCAACAGTGTCAGACCAGGCTAACAACACTCCCAGACCAGTGAGTGTGAGTATAACACTATTCAAGCCCTAAGTTCACTTGTGCAATCTGACAGAAACCAAGTATACTATGATACAACAGTCCCTAGAACACAGAATAAAAATACATCACACTACTATACATAAAATAGACATCAAATACTAGAGGTAGCAGATGTTACTGGGTGGGGATTGAAGTTGGACTGAAATTCAGTCTAAAGAGGTGGGTCTTCAGCCTGCGTCAGAAGATAGCCAGTGATTCTGCTGTTTAATTGGTCAATTAAAAATAACTTTATCAATATTGTTTTTAATCTTTTTAAATGTTGGCAAATAATACAAAAAAAAAAAACAAGGTATTTGAAGCAATCACAAAACAAGATATTCCATGCAAATTTTAGCAGCTCTTTTATGTTAGGGGATGTAGTATATAAAACATTAATAACAGTTTTACAGTTTTAATGCATCATTAAAAGGTTTGGTAGTGAGAAAAAATCTTTGACTTTCGATACCTAATACATTATTTATAATATTTGTTTGTATTTGTTTGTGCAACATTTTTAAAGTGATATTTTGTTTGGGAAATACTTGTTCCGAATGTTTTGAAATAATTATTCAGAATGTCAATTTCAAGAATATTTGGCGAATTTTAGGGTGACCACCAAAATATGAATCTGATGTTCATAGCAAAAGTGTGAGGAGTCGATCACTCCAGCCAGAAAACATGGTGCTACTGTGTCATGAACGTGTGCCTCTTTTTAATGTGTAGCTTCTGAAGTGTTTTTTTACTTGTATCTCTGCCATGAAATCCAAACTCGTACAACTAACATCACATGCTAAGTTCTGAGATATTCCAAAGACACCAGACCTTTTTGAGGAAAGAGATAATAGTTGCTGTTTGAATTGAACTTGCCTCTTCAGCAATATTCCTCACAATACACTGAGGTAAAATTATGTTGTATATGAGGTGATGGCCTTTCCAGAAACCTTGAACTACTGGATTATAATGATACAGTGAAAGGTCAAAGGTTCAGCTTCATGTTGATATTTTTATCAGCGACACCTGACTTGTGGTACTCAGTGACACTGAAATTTGCCAATATGTGCCTCAGTTTTCTGAGTGGTGGTTGAACTTTAACAATGATGCTAGATACTATGAATGAAATTCTTCTGTCTATAACCTGCTTTCATGCCCTGTATTAACAGAGGTATTAAGCTTCTGGAAAATACCAGAAGGCTCCTGTAGGTAGCCGACAGGGTCATTTGGTACTTGTACACCCCTTTTCCACTGTCCCATTTGAGTATAACCATGGTCACACTGGTGTAGTTCCTGAGTTCCTTCCCTAGTGGCAAAAACGTCTCCATTAAAAAGATGGAAAGGGGCAGAGTTTTGGTGTGTGTCTGAAATGGTTGTTTCTAGCCAACACTGTTGTATGCTGTGGATTGTCATCTGCTAGCTACACGTGAGCTAGCTAACTAGATTGCTGAGATTTCTCAGACCACAGCCAACCTAACCATCTGCAGTTTTTGCAGATGTTGCCTTCAGTCAAATACGTTAACTGTCAGCTTTCACATACAAATGCAAACTTATAGGTGGAATAGTTTTGAGTGTCTATCTCAGTGTTTCCCAACCTTACCCCTGGCAGCACCCTGTCCTGCATATCTTCTGTCTATCCTTGCTCTACTTACCTGACTGAACTCATCAGTGGCACGTTTTATTAGCTGAGCACACCTGATTTAATCAAGCAGCAAGGATAGATAGAAGATATGCAGGACAGGGTGCTGCCAGGAGCAGGGTTGGGAAACACTGGTCTATCTGTCTGATTTCCCAGCTAGAACAGTTAACTAGCTAGTAGAACTTGTACTGTGAATCCTAGCCAGTTAAAACAACGAGGCATTCCCTCAAAGATGGATGTTTGTGGTGAAATCATTAAGTGTAAAGGAAAAAGCTTTACCCGATATAGATACAGATGACTGATATCTTATCTCTGTTATTATCTGACTGTGAAATATAAATAGACAGAGAGAGAGAGGGGAGAGAGCAAGTCCAATAAATGTGTTGAATGCCATGACACTTTTCCAGCTGCTAGCTAGTGAGAGTTTATCTGTTAGGCATGGTATTCTTCATGTGTCATGCCTGTTGCTGCAGTGCGTGCAAAACCACATGGCAATTTTACTTTACATTTAAGATTTTTTTAAAGATTTAAATTTACCCTTAGTTAACAGGTTGGGTATTATTACTCCCCAACATAATAAAGCAGTAATCTGATGGTTGTCGCACTTGTCTTTTGTCTTTTTGGAGTGATTGTCACATGTCGAAGACAATTAAAGCTTTTATTCTGATCTGTAGCCTGTCCATCTATGTGGCTTATATGCTGGATCCAGTCAAATGAAGGCATTGGAGAAAGCAAAAGTTTTCTTGTGTCTGTTTCATTTAGCATCTGATCCCTCTGAGTTTGCAGACCTAAGTGCGCCTCTGTGCAACATTAACAGGTGCTAATTTCTCTTTGGCAGTAACAGGAGGGAGTGATTGGAGTGGGAGTGATGGATATATCCAGACCAATCACAATGTAAAAGATGGATCCAATGAGACTGAAGGTCATTCAGCTATGTGAGGTATCAGTGGGCCTGTGGAATGGACTGCACCTCTGTTTTAAACACTGCATCGCAGACAGATACATGTTCAGACAGGATGTTTCCATTTTCCTTCTTTTTTTTCCTCTTCCCAATCATTCCTTTGTACAATTGTCATGATTTCTGATCATATTGAGGCTTTCAACTGAAATACATTTGAGTCCCTCCAAGAGGCAACATTTCTTCTCACCAGAATGATGATTATCACCAGGGTTTTGATAGTTGCATGCCCCCCTCCCTCCCCCCAGGCTCAGCGCACAGAGAAAATACAGAGGGGTGCATTTGCAATCCTCGGGGGCAAAATGTCATATCTTAAAAAATGTAATAAAAACGATGCAGGCATCAGGATATTTACATTTACATTTATTCATTTGGCAGACGCTTTTATCCAAAGCAACTTACATAGGTTACAGTTCTTTTACAATGATATCCATTTATACAGCTGGATATTTTACTAAGGCAATTGTGGGTTAAGTATCTTGCCCAAGGGTACAGCAGCAGTGTCTCAGCGGGGATCGAACCGGCAACCTTTCGATTATGAGTCCTGCTCCTTAACCACTATATAATGACAAAACTGGGGGTGCACTGAGGTCTGTATGGAGGTGCGCCCCTAAGCACCCCCATAGCACTGGCCCTACCCCCCCACACCCCCAAATGGGTTAAACTTTACCAGCCTTCAAATGCAAGTGCTCTGAGGTCAAAAGGATAGAGTTCTGAGGAAACGGGGTCGCACGTGTTTGCCAGCAGAGAGACAAGCTGTGTGTATCCATGAGTCTGAGTGATGGAGGACAGCTGATTTTGGCATCCTCTGAAGGAATGGAGGTCAAGGGAGCTAAGGTTTCAGCAACATTGTAATAATGCTTTATAAGAAAGAATACTGGCATGCAATGCAGGTCCCGCAGAGGCACACTGACACAGGAATGCATTTCCAAATGAGACCTTCTAACCCTGATATCTCTGTGGAAATAGTCTGATGCAACAAGAAACCCCTAGTACAGTATTTTCTGTAAAGAATCGTGGCTTATCTTCAGCATGCTGGAGTCAGAATGGCGTGATACCCAATGTGATCTAACGGTTGGATGAGAAGCGATACTGTAGTCTGTGAGAGGTTTGTGTCTAATTCTTGACTGAGACCAGCCTGTGGAAGAGCAGACCCAGCCAACAGTGCTTATTTATAGAAACTAGGCTGGCTGGTTTTAGGGTCAGTATCAGCATATTTATAAATGTCTGACAATTGCATTTGTGAATAATGAAATAGCATACTGTACAAGGGTGATATGGTATAGAAATTCCACTGCCACAGTCTGGTCATGGCTTTTTAATCACTGTATGATATTGTTCATACTTTTAATCCAATAGGTGACATCTGTATTCTGTAGTATTTTTAACCATTCTAATATGACCATGCATTGTGTGCGTGTTACCTTGTACTGTAATCAATCACATAAAGCTCAAGTATATTTCTTCCTGTCCAGGAAGCAGAAGTGAATATTTTTTTGTAATCTGAGGTGTAAAACCTAGAAATAGTTGCCCAAGATATTTATTTTGACAAAAAAACCCTAACAAGATCGACAGATAAACCAGACTCAGGATGCGACTGAACCTGCAATGTGTACCCTTTGCCAAGAATTAGCCACCATCTCAATTGCAGGTGTATCAAAGGTGCTGGAGGTTGGACGGAATAGAATGAAGACAAAGCATTTCTTTGTGAAATCTGAAGCTCTGCGCCCCACAGACCATTCTAAGAGAGCAAAGGATAGGCTAACCCTTTTCAGTAGTGTTTTACACCAAGCAGCCATGTCACATGATGCCGTTCCTGGGGGAGAGATGAGGTAAGATTCTCCACATCCATAGGCGTATGCTGAGCACGTGACCCCCCTGACATGTGATCCAGCTGGACAGAGGAATGCAGGTGGCTCAACCTTTCTGGACTGTGCTGGAAAGTCATGTTGGGTCAGAAGGGAATTGAGAGCTTTCCATGTGGGTACTTGACAGCGGGAAGGAGTCACACCAGTCTCAGCTGACCTTAGTTCAAGTTGATCGTTTCATTTTAAACAAGAGATTTTGAACTGATGGCTAATGGTTCAGTTTAATTATACATATATGTAGGGATGAATTCCCATGCAATATACCTTGTGACTACTCCTGGCATGGTGTAGGCCTTTTAAAGGCACACAAAGAGATATTTATCACTGTGCTGAGTATTGACACTGTTTTTTTTCCAAGATTACATTTTACTTTAAAATTCATCCTGATTTTAGGCAAGTACTATATAAATAGGGTCAAGTCAGCTAACAACACAATCTAGCCCAGTTAGAGGCCAAAGGGGCATACAAATCCACTGTGTTGTCATAAATGAAGTCCATCTGGGCTCTTGGAAGGTAGTTTAGTTCTTTGTGTCTGTCTTTTCTGAGTAGTCAGTTACTCTCTAAATAAAAACAGGATTATTGAAGAACACATTGACAGTATGGAGAGTTTAGTGTATCTCGCCTCTCGACACAACCATTCAGCTACTTTCTTGTGGTTCATTCAAAAAACTTTCTAGTTTTTGTTTCATCAATGGCTAATTTGACAGCATTGATCTTTTTGCTGGTCCATGCAGCTATACCATGTAAAACGCTGTATGTTGCTGTGTTGTGTACCTTCCTCTGTGGCAGATCTGGTCTCTTTGTTCAGGACCCGTTTCATTTCCCAAGGCAGCCTCCAGGCTTTTAACCCGCACAAGTTGCCTTGGTAACACCTCCAACATGGTGACCGCTATCCATCACTTTCTTGTGCCTGCCGCAAAATGCCTCCTGGGTCTAATGGTTTGAATATGCATGCGTGCTTTTTTTTTCCTTTTTAACCCTCCGTCCATGGGCAGAATTCTAATTCTGCGCGGCGTGCACGGGCCCCGCTTCTCGCCTCCCACTCAAAAACACTCCCGGGTTCCATCAATTAGAGAGAGCTGGAGTGGTGCTGCGTGAGGCGGGAGGGAGGAAGCGCCATCGATCCGCTTTTGTCGCTGCCCCGTTTCATGTTTATTCCTCCCCGTGATGCTGGAAACAAGTGTTTTGTTCCCTGTTTGTTCTCGGTGAGACGCAATCTCTGAGTCATACCTCTCTTTGTCCCCGCATGGGTGGGTGGCCTGAAGCCGTGACATGCTGCATTTCTGAAGCCTCAGCATGCCGCCTGACATGTTCGTGTTCTTGGACTTAAAGAAATAATAATACTTTGGGTGCTTTTGGTCATGTCATGTCGGGTCAGCTGGGAATCCAGAGCTTTCCATGTGGTAACTTGTTATGAAATAAAGATGATACATACATATATAATATTCCTATATAATATAGCATATATAACATATACATCTTTCTTTCTAAATAAGTGAAACATGGAAGACAACATCAAAATGTAAGAGTGGATGGACCCTATATACCTACATATCTCATGGATTCGGCTGTGGTTAAGGGTTTACAAAAACAGTACCCAGCTTCACCTTTCTTTCGGTTAAAAGGCTACGATTACATGCTCTAATACATTCCTCCTCCACATAACGTCAGTCATCATAAACCAACAGCTGTTCTTCATAGTCTACTAAAAAGCATGTGAACGTATGTTTCTGCATGTCTGTACAAAGACTGCAACATACCTTTGTATTGCACTGATTTTACTACAGACGAATCCCATTTCTGTCTCTCCAAGCAAGTTTGGTGGTTCCTGGTGCAATGCGTGCCACACAGTGGTTCAGTGCCAGTATGAGCTAAATGTGTTGAGTGGTGCATACCTGTGTCTAGCAAAAGAACGTAGAGCTTGCATCACAACTGTGCCCTTCAGCTGTCTTCAGGGAGAAAGTTGAAGCCTCTTGGACCCTGGGGTGCATGTTTTTCATTGGCTGGCTGGTGAGTCAGGGCTGTCTCCAACCACTCAGCACAGAGATGGCAGAGATGGTGCCAAATCTGCTGTTTCTACCTATTTAGTCTGCAGGATCCAAAACATGCCAAGTTTTTGAAAAATTTCATTTCATGTCCAGACCTAACGTTTATATGCACGCACGCACGCACACACGCACACGCGCGCGGGCGCGGGCACAGACACAAAAACTTAGAGAACCAATGTAAAACACTGACCATAAATCACAGCTAACATGAGAATTTCTCCTGCTACGGTTTGGTTTCATCTCTGTAAGGCTTGAAATAAATCCTGAAGCATTTACAGATCAGGCATAAGGTTTATTAAACATTAAACTATCAAGGCATGCACCAGCCACTGGAGAAATGTTGAAGCAGTTATGCCTGACTACCTCTTAACTCCTTAACTCCTTAAGAGGAGACTTGACAATTATTCGTCCATAATGGCTGGTGGTGTTTCAGGACAAAGGTGTGAGCAAGGACAATACTAGACTGCAAAGCATAACAGTGCTGGTATAGAATATGTGCATTCAATTAAGTGAAATATGTGTGAAGATATGACATATTTTTGTTATAACGCTTTCAATAGATTGTAGTAATAGGAATCCAACATTTCATTTTCATTTAGGTGGTTTTTAAAAGAATTCTGGGGGTTGATGCCAAAAATTGTGTACTTTCCTCATAATGATTTTTAAAAAAAAAAATTCCATGTCACACACAGACATATGGTGAGTGCATTTCTTTGTGCAGTTGTGTGAGATTGTGCGTGATGATGGTGAATGCTGTGACCCCCCCATGCCACACCCCCCACGGATGGCGCTGTCTGTTGATTCGCTTGTTTTCGGCATCCAGGCCCAGTCTCTGCAGCCAGAGGCCCTGAAATAAGGCTCAGGCAGTGCAGGGCCTGCCAGCTAAGCCTGTTAAACTTTTCCATCTGGCAGCTCAGTTTCTCCAAGTGAAGCAGAAATAATGCAGAACAGGCTTCGTGTTACTAATCCCGTGTGCAGGGGGGGAGGCCAAGGCCGAGAGAAGAGAGAGAGAGAGAGAGTGTGTGTGTGTGGGTGGTGGTGGTGGTGGGGGGGATGCTATCCAAAGGGCCTCTGTTGTCTCCCTGTTAACAATACCAACTGTGCTGACTTCCGGTGTTAAATGTTACACGTATCCCTTCTTTCCCTTTCTGTCCTCTTCTGCCAGGATGGCAGGAGGTTCCCCTCTCCGAAAAGATGCACTGGGGCCTGTGCAGAGTAACAGAACACTCAGGAACTAAGAAATGAAGGTTGGAATAAAAAACTGTTTGGTGTTTTACATTATATATTTCTCTCTCTCACATACACACACACATATATATGAGCATGAATATGAATATATGTGGATCAGTGTCATTACCTCACTTCATTGTGAGGAGCTATATTACAGGAGGTCTCCTACATTATTATAGAAGACCTTTACAGCAGGGATTCCCAAACCTCAGAACCTGAAGGTCCATTTTTAGTTCTGTACAGACCATAATGCACCACTGTAAATAACAAAGCATGGTTTTTCTCCCAAAACCACTAGCATGTTACATCTAACAAAGGCATGTACAGCAAGTATAAATGTGGCATTAAGGGATTTGTGGCAATCCTATTGTTGAAGGCTACTGTACCAGAACGTGTATTGATTTGATTTGCAAATGAAGGATTA